TAGAAAGGGAGAACAAAAATTCAAAAGAAGAATATTCAAAGAATATCTTACTCCCTCTGTTTCTAAATTAAGAAGTAATTAATACATAGTTTTAAGTGCATCATTTTTCTCTCACTAGCCACTTTATTATTAATATGAACCAATAGCAATTCAACAATATTCTTGGATCTCACAATCAAATTACTTTTGTTAATAAACAATAAAAAAGAAATCTGAAAAATCAAGTTTTGTGGAACAAAGAAAAAACTCTAAAATATCAAGTTTTTTGAAACAGAGGGAGTAGTATATAAAGAGATTGAAGAAAAGTGGTTGTCTCATGTAGATTATGGTTTCTTGATAAAGAAAAATAGTGAATAATCAGAAATTTCTAACAAAATTTCAAAAGAAGAATATTCAGAGGATATATTATTATATAAAGAGATTGAAGAAAAGTGGTTGTCACGTGCAGATTATGGTTTCTTGATAAAAAAAAATAGTGAAGAATCAAAAATTCCTAAAGGTAACAAATGAGTTATAACTCATTATTTGAATCTATAACTCATTTGATATCTTAAGGAATTTCTGAATCTTCACTGTTTTGCTTTATCAAGAAAGCATAATCTCTACGTGACAACCACTTCTCTTCAATCACTTTATATAATAATATATCATTTGAATATTCTTCTTTTAAATTTTTGTTAGAAATTTTTGTTTTTTTATCTATTTTTCTTTATCAAAAAACCATAATCTCCATGACCACTTTTATTCAATCTCGTTATATACTAAAATATCATTTGAATATTCTTCATCTGAATTTTTGTATGCAACTTCTGGATGAAAACATATCGCCAAATATTATAAATAGTTGAAATAGCAATAATTGATTACTCATAGATATATTAAACAATAGATATATTAAAGCTCGCGTAAATTCAACTAACTTGTTACCGAATTTCTGATTTTTCACTATTTTCTTTACCAAGAAACCATAGTCTCTATAAAAAAAACCATTTTTCTTAAATCTCTTATACAATATGATATACTTTGAATATTTCATTGTTGCCTCTCCATATACATTTTTCACTAAAATATGTTAAAAGATCAAAGTTATGAAATTCAAGATAATTTGATGTAAATTTTGGTGGGTACCCATCCGTGCCCAGCACTAATCCACATGCACGTTGTGCCACCCAATGGCGAAGCCACTTGAGGCTATATGGGGTCAACTGACACCCTGTTATTATAGTAAGAATTATATACTCTCTTTTTATATTAATTTTCATTTTAAGAAAACGTAAATGCAATATATCTGAGATGTGTTACATTTATATTCATAATTATTTATCAAGCAATCAAGCATAACTCATAGAATCAATTGGAGTCATCCTCACCTTTAAATACTTGCCGATTAAGATAGCTTGATGAAGAGCCACGGAAACGCATGAATAACTCAGGAATGAACCGTCCACTTTTCGATCCCACCGTTGATTCTTCTGCTTGTAGTACCATCACGCTCTCCACGAAGTTTCGACCACATCGGATACCTAACGCGTCAGTTACGATCACTTGAACAAGTGGCATAAAAACTTTAAAACTGTTTTCGGAAATGACGGATCCGGATCATACTGGACCAACTTCCACAGCGATTTATGGATGGACCATAACTCCGATCGATACACCGTTTGGTCCTATGAATTATCTGCAGTGACACCTTTCCAGGGGTAACTCGACGTGGTCTAAGTCGTTCTTTTGTGTCTGGTAACGTCCTCCAAAGTAGCCTTCATGCACACTGTTTTCCTGAGATTAATGTTGCAGGTTTCCAGCAATTACTTGACCAGGAAACAACGTTTTCACACGACGCCTCCGGTGGAACTAGGGTTTTGGCTTGACATTCCCACCATCATGGGTTGATGGTGGTCATAACTAAACCAACGCCTCAGAAAACCGACATCTCTTCCGCCATTTACAAGCCTCCGAAGTTGCCTCTTCCACGCTGCCTTAGTTTTTAAAACCTCCACAACATGAATGTTTACCAGATCGTTCCTTGCATGCTTGATTGATTTCTGCTTCCACACAAACCGCCATTTCCACCTCCGTATCCACCTCGCCGCGTCAGATCGGCGATGGTGGTGAGATCTGGCGGTGGAGTTCGTGATCGTTCACTCTCGGTTCCTCCGCTACGTCTTCTCACCTTCTCTCTCCTTCTCTCTACTTCTCTCCCCTCGTTACATGACCACTCACTTCCTCTCTTTCACTTTTCTCTCAACCTCTCGCAACTCTCTCTCTCTCTTTTGCAGGTCGGCGCTAGGGTTCTCGAGGAGGAAGGAGAAGCATCTCCTTTGAGAAGCTCACGATCGAGAAAAGAAAAGGGGTCTTGGGCCTCTTGGGCGTTTCAAATCAATTAAAAAAAAAACTGGCCCATAAATAGAAACCCCGTCGTTACATATATAGTTTGATGTCCTCTGCAATACATATATTGTTTTATGATTCTTTAACAAAAAAAAGGGAACAGAATTGGTGAATTAGCTACCAGTCTACCTCCGGTTCTAAAAGATGAAATTTTTGGCGAGTTCACACGTATTAAAAAAAAACAACTTAAAATTTAACAAAAAATAATGTATTAGTTTTCGTGATTAACAATTTCCCCTATTTTTAACCAATGATAGTTTTTAATAGTTTCTTTCACTTTTTCTTTGGCGGAAGTTGAAGATTGGTTGCAAAATGTAATATGTTTTTACAGATCGAAGCACCGATCCAGAGCTCAAACGTGATGCTGTATTCAAAAGACAAGGATGTGATAAGCCAGGTGGGTCACAAGGTCCTTGAAGATGGACAGAAGGTCAGATATCTGATCAAAACAGGGGAAATGTCGAACAATTGAGAAATGGAAGCAACTTAAGGAGGCAAAGGATAAAGAACCAACCCAAGTTGCAGTTACCTCATCATCTTAGAACCTCACTTCTCTCTTCTTCATTGCCATTTTTTATTTATAAACTCTTAAGAGACCTATCTATATGTATCTGCTGGATGTATTGAATCCCTTTTTAAGGTAAAGTATAAAAATTTATACCAAACAAACACTTTCTTATTCTTACTTTGAAGCTTACATTGAGGCTTACTACACAGGTAAGATATATTCCAAAGCTATGAAACACACGAATTTTACAGGAAACAAAAGTACAAATGCGTGAGATGTGGCTAAACCATGGTCTTTGAGCCTTCAGAAACCATCTCGGTTTTGGGATTTGGTACTTTCTTCTGTGTGGTAAGCTTCCACCTCACGTAGAACACAAGCATATATATGAGAAACACCAAGGCAACGATCACATACATGTAGAAGAATATAGATGGAGAATACTTCTTGTACACCGAAATCACGTAAGAGCATATGAGAGGCACCGTGATGAAGAAATACCACCAAGTGTATGCTCTACCAACTGGTAAGAGTATAAACGTCAAGGCAATGGACAATAGAAACGCTGTAGTGTTGAATCCCCATAGTAACACAATCTCTGATATGAAAAATCCGAAATCTAGTTGTTTGTCGCTGTCTACAGGTTGTGATGCTGACTGATAAGTAGCTGTGATGATCAGAGCTGTTATCACTAGAAGAGAGTTTCTTGCTCCGTCTGACATGCGGCTCCTGTAACGTGCCATACCCGTTGAACAATACTCCCGGAAAGTGACAGGTTTTCTCAAGAAGACAGACATTGTCTCGACCTCGGATAAAGAGTCCCCGGTCTTACCCCCTGCTTTTATTATGTTTATCTCAGTAGCTTTGTTCATGTTGTGAGAACCACTGGCTCGTAAGGCATCAAGGGCTGTCAGACTATTTGTGTTCTTGATGTTTCGGTTCAAAGACATGCATTTCAACAGCTGCTTTACGGCCTGTGTATATATAAAGGTTTCACAGGCAACCATTTATTAGACGAGATCTATCTATCTATTCTATCATATAGTTTAAAGAAGATGAGGGTGTAACTATACTAAACAAGTGTGTTAGGACTTAGGACGAAGTCTAAAATTGCAGTAAAGCATACACTTGATGTAAAGCATACAATTAAGGTCAAAATCCCTTTAAAGCCTCTATCGGCTGCTTTGTTCTATACAAAGATCTAAAGCAGCATTCACGACACCAATTCGAACAATTAAACTAGAGCACAACTTTTAAGAAGGAAGATGTCCGTGATCAGTCCACATGGAGATAAAAAGTCGATATATTTAGAAATGGCTATCGATAAACTGTTTTTTTTCTTGTAAGTGGAAAACCCAAGATAATAGTGTTTCTTTTTTTTTTTTTTTTTTTTTTTTTTTTTTGTTTTGACGACAGCCTAAGTTCCTAGATCGGCTCTGGGAGCGGGATCGGGGGAACTGAGTTTACATAGCATACATCGTGAGGCTGAGCTCGAGCACTCCGTGAGATAATAGTGTTTCATTAGAACTTAAAAGTTTTTAAAAGTTTCAATACATTTTTTCCTAGTTTTGGGAGAGCTAAAAACCTAAAGTTGGTGAATAATTAGAAAAAAAGAGCTTTACTATTTTTAATTTGTTTCAAAAGAACATTTTCTTTCTCAAAATTTGAATAATAATTAAAAAAATAATTTTTTTTACAGCAATTAAAAAATAAGTTAAAAAAGAAAATTAATCAAAACTCTTCTAAAAACTGAAGACAATTTAGCCAACTGCCCAACAAAGTCTATACACGCTACTATGGCACTAGAATTTACCAGGCTGATTTCAAGACGACATTGCAAACTTTACACACATGCTGGCCCGATTCATTCCCTCCCATACATGAAATCAAAATGATGGACGAGCTCGATTCACTTTCATTTAGACTCTATTTGCTCTGGATTTGGGGGTAAAATCGGAATCAGGATTTCTATGTGAAGAAAAAACTTTGACGGGGAACTGAGTAGAGAGAAAACAGTTTCTGGGCAAGACCGTCGATTTTCCTATGAGCTTCGCAATCTACAACAGAAATCTTTATTCGTTTTTCCTCTTGATTTGTGTTTCAGCTCGAAAATTTGTAACTTTAGGTTCCTACTTTTTCGTTTTTTTCTGCAGAATACAAAGAGACCACACAAAAAAAAAGTTGCGTGACTGATAGAGAGAGATGATGAGCTGTCTGATAGAAATTAATCAATTATATTTATTTATGGACATAAACTGTAGTATCTATGTATTTAATTATTTAAGCAGGGTGAATGTGAATCAAACATTTATTATATCAAATTTGATATCAAAAGTTCAAAATAAAATATAGAGAACTTTGGCCTATTACATTTAATCAGCTAGTTCTTTCTACTTATACCTTATTATAATTTTACGAATTTTAATCAAGTTTTAACCTATATAAACCGATTCTTAATTATGTTATTTTTATTACTTTCCAGTTGTTTTTTGGGTTATTTTTTCAGAATTGAAGATATTTTTTTATTTAATTATGTAATGTCTACATATGGTTTTAGCCTAGTCACAAAGTAGTTTCAATTAAGTCACAATCTATGATTAAATCTAAAGGTCATTAAAACAGTCATTAACTGTGACGAGATACCAACCAATTTTTTGTAACCATGTGTGACGTAAATTTTATACCAAAACCGTATTAATCTAGTTACCCAATTTCATCACAAAACCGTAACAATATTTGTAACTATATATTTCATAACAAATTCGTCACAATTAGTTACAAATACTAGTTATGTTTGTTTTGGTCACAATATTATAACGAAATTGTTACATTTTTATGACCGAATAACTTCGTCACATTTTCGTATGTAGCTGTAAGGATTTAGAGATTTCATTTGTTCAATTTTAGATATGGAGGAGAAACTTCCATTATCTAGTTCAACAAATCTCTCTCAAGCAAGTGAAATTTGATAAATTTCTGAGTTTCTGCAATATGGGTTTTGTTTACTGTGAGATATTGAAGTATATATATGCAATGTCAATGTTTTTGACTGTTACTACTAAACTCTGTCATGAAGTAACATCTGCGCAAGCTCACATTTTTACAGAGGAAATTATGGTTTTTTGCAACTTTTGCTTGATGTTTTCATGTTGAATGCAAAAATGGTTCCTTACTTAGCTTCTTTTTGTTACTCAAATGGCAGGTCAAGCCTGCAGAGAACCCATGTCTTGTTCAAGCAAAGGTTAGTCGTTACTTCTCCTTCTGCATTATTTCTTAACTTTGAACCACAAGAAAACTTATTTTTTTGGATGATTGTGTTGTTGTTGTTGATGTCAATGTTGTGTGATATGTGTGTTTAACCATTATCAGCTGAAGCGTTGGGAGCGAAAAGAATGCAAACCAAACAGTCTTCCAGTGCTGCACAAGATGCATGTCAAGTTTGGAGATACAGTCAAAGTGATATCTGGACGAGACAAGGGCAAGATTGGAGAAGTCACCAAGATCTTCACCCACAACAGTACCATAGTGATCAAAGACGTGAACCTCAAGACTAAACACATGAAGAGCCGAGAAGAAGGAGAGCCTGGCCAAATTGTTAAGGTCTGTCCATATTTTGTAGCTTGTACACTTTTTTTCTTCTTTGGCTAAACTCTAGTGCTGTTTGATAGTATTATGTTTTTTGCAGATCGAAGCACCGATCCACAGCTCAAACGTGATGCTGTATTCAAAAGACAAGGATGTGATAAGCCGGGTGGGTCATAAGGTCCTTGAGGATGGACAGAAGGTGAGATACCTGATCAAAACAGGGGAGATCATCGATACCGTTGAGAAATGGAAGCAACTTAAGGAGGCCAAAGATAAAGAAACAACCCAAGTTGCAGTAACCTCCTCATCTTAGAACCTCATTTCTTTCTTCTTCATTGCACTTTTTGATTTATAAACTCTTAGAAACCTATCTATATATGTATGTGCTGGATGTATTGAATCCCCTTTTAAGGTCAAATATAAAAAATGGGTTTCTACCAAGCAAACACTTGTTATTCTTCCTTAAGTAAAGCTTACATTGAACCTTAAACAGGAAAGTTATTCAAAAACATACAAGTTTTATAGGAAACAACAAAACTACAAACGCTTGGAAAGTGGTTAAACACTTAAACCATAGTCTCGTTTCTTTCAGAAATCAGCTCGGTCTTGGTTTTCGGTACTTTCTCCTGTCTGCTACGCTTCCACCTCACGTAGAACACGATTAGATATATGAGTAATCCCATTGCAACAGGGGTATATATGAAGTAGAGTAGCAAGGGTTGATACTTCATGTAGATCGAAGTCCAATAAGAACATACGAGAGGCCCCGCTATGAAGATATACCACCAAGTGTTTCCTTTACCAGCTGGCAAGAGTATAAACGTCAAGACAATAGAAAAGAGAAATGCAGCAGTGTTGAACACTTCTAATATGGCTCCTTTAATATCGGACACTTCACGTATGTCTTGTGCCGCTGACTGATAAGTAGCTGTGATGACCAGAGCTGTTATCACTAGAAGAACGTCTCGTGTTCCGTCTGACGTTTGGCTCCTGTATCGTGCGATGCCCGTTGAGCAATATTCCCTGAATGTGACCGGTTTTCTCAAGAAGACAGACATCTTCTCGACTTCGGATAGAGATTCACCAGTCTTACCTCCTGATATTTCTATGAGTTTCTCAGTAGCTTTGTTCACGTGAGAGCCATTGTCTTGTAAGACATCTAGGGCTGTCATACCAGCTTTGTTCTTGATGTTTCGGTTCAAAGACATGCATTTCAACAGCTGTTTCACTCCCTGTGTATATATATAAATGTTTGTTAGACAAGATCTATCTATCATACAGTTCACAGAAGAAGAGAAAAAGAAAAAGAACATATATACCTTGTGATCATTCTCGTGCGCCGCTAGGTGCAAGGCCGTGTTGCCATTACGGTCGCCTCTGTTAAGGACGTGTTTCTCAGTGGAGCCATCATCTTTCTCGCGCCTTCTTTGCATCCACCATGTGAGGACTTGGAGCTCTTCATATTTTTTGTTCATGACTGCGATGTGTAAAGCAGTTTCTCCATTTGCATTCGCATCTCTGATGCTCTCAGGACATGCTCTGAGAAGCTCTGTGAGAAGATCCGCGTCACCTTTCTTTGCCACAATATGCAATGCTGTCATACCTGTCGTTATGAGCAAAGGAAAAAAGAATTCAAATCTATCATCCAAGTACGTAACTGTATATTATATATTTATTTAAACATATTCGGAGAACAATTAATAATTAATGTATTGAGGTAATTACGTACCTCCTCTTCCACGAATACGAACAAGACTAGGATCAAACTTGACTAGCTCTACTGCTAACTCAGCTTGCTGCTTCTCGACAGCGAGATGCAATGGACTAAACCCATCATCGTTTAGTTTCTTGGCAAAAGATGGTTTTAGAATCATTAGTTCCATTGCCAAATCTATCTTCCCGGTAGATGAAGCTTCATGGAGTGGTGTGTGGATGAAAGGTAAATCATCGATTTTCTGAAGAATGCATGGATCCTCTTTAATAAGAGAATACAACGCATCAACGCTGCCCGATTGAGTAACCAAAAGCAATTTTGATTCCATACTTAGAAAGAAAGAGAGATATTTGTAATGTCCAGTTTATGAAGAAAAAGAGTCCAAGCACTCTCGTTTATATTGTCTCAATTTCTAAAAGCAAAAAAAAAGGGCAACTTCTCACCTAAGGTAGAATGAGTGAAATAGAAGAAGTAAAATAATTGACTTAGGACTGTTCAAATTATTTTAAGCTTGAAGAAAGCTCTTTGTAGGGACCAATCTAAGAAGAAACGATCCCAACATTTTCGTTACATAACTTTTTTATTTAAATATGCCTGTTCGGAGAAGAGCCGCTAGCAGCTGCCTCAGATGGCAAGCAACAAGGAAAAACG